TGGAGTGCAGTGGCTGCTTCCGGCCACCGCAGCCTCGACCTGCTGGGCTCCGGCGATCCTTCTGCCTCAGCCTTCCAAGTAGCTGGATTTACAGGCATGCGCTACCATGCCTGGCTAGTTTTTGATTTATTGTAGAGATGAGGTCTCGTCAAGTTGCCCAGGCGGGTCTCTAACCCACGGGTTCAGACAATCCACTCTCCTCGGCCTCCCAAAGCACTGGGATTGCAGACTGAGCCACTGAGCCCGGCCTGCATCTTAACTTTTTAAGGCACTTTCCTGCTTTTACATGTTGGAGTCTTTGCGTTGTGCTTACTCGTCTGTTTGAGAGTCCCAGTGACCTTTCTGTTTTAATGTTCTGTCTAATGTTGTATTGGGTCTGATGGGAGAGGGAGGTGAACAGGTGTAATAGGGAGGAAGGTGAGCGAATGTGATGGAGAGGGGGGTGAGCGGGCCTGATGGGAGAGGAAGGTGAGACAGTCTGATGGGGTAGTGGGTTTGATAAGGAAGGTAGGTGAGTGGGTCTGATGGGAGAGGAAGGAGAGCTGGTCTGATGGAAGAGGGAGGTGAGTGGGTCTGATGGGGGAGGGAGGTGAGCGGGCATAATGGGGGAGGGAGGTGAGCTGGTGTGATGGGGGAGGGAGGTAGATGGGTCTGATGGGGAGGTGAGGGGGTCTGATGGGGGAGGGAATTGAGAGTGTTCATAGTGTGCCGTCTCCTTCCCTGCCTGGGTGTGGTTGTCCACATAGGCTCTGTCCTGCCTCTGATCCAGGGTTCTACTCAGTCTTCCTGACTGGAGAGTGACACCCTTGGCATCTGCTGCCAGGCGGGGGCAGACGCTGGGGCCTTCCGTGCTCTGCATCCATCCTGCTGTCGTGCTGTCAGGTGTTTAGCCTTCACTGGGCTTGGCCACTCCAACGCTACTGCCCCCCCATCCCACCCATCCTTCCAGCTTGGGGATGTGGCTTCCTCCTACAGGCTGATCTGTCAGCTTGTCATCTGTCGTGGTCCCCATGGTGCTAGTCCACTGAGGGTCCTTCCTGCTTGCTTTGGTGTCGTGGGTTTGTAAAAATGACTTTTGTGTTCTTTGGGAGCTTTGGGGGGAAGGCCAGCTTGCTTACAGCGTGTGCAGCCCACCACATCGATTCAGTAGTGACTGTGTAACATTTATAGTGACATATGCTTAGTGAAAAGGAGGAAAGATATTGAACCTTAACAAAAACTAAAATGCTGATGAAATCACCAAAGACATTGCATTCTTGTTTTGAAGAGTAGTAGAATATAGAAAAATTAAAGCTTTAGTGAAGAATAGTTCAGACTGGGAATATATTCATGTGACGCTGAAAGGCATATGTTTTTTCAAAGTAAAACGTGTATGTATGCGTTTTTCTCGGTGTTGCCGTGCTGCGGTGCTGGACTTTCTTTCTGCTCCTTGGGGGGAGGGAGGAAGCATGAGTTCTGAAGTCTGCACCCGCCTTGCTGAATAGCCTGCATCAAATCCACTTTCACCTGGGCCTGCAGAGCTGTGTTCGTTGCTGAGAGAGAAACATGCCAAGATGTTTGACAGATGCTCTGAAAAAACATAAACAAGCATGTTGAGTACAACTGTAATTTTAAATGCCATTCCCTCAGTGTTATTCTAAAGGTGTTTTATATTTTTTCATTATAAAATAATATGCCATGGAGTTTTTTTTTAATAGAGGTGGGGGTCTCGCTGTGTTACCCAGGCTGGTCTCAAACTCCAGGGCTCAAGTAATCTTCCTGCCTTGGCTTCCCAAAGTGCTGGGATTACAGGTGTGAGCCACTGTGGCTGGCCGGCATGGAATTTTCGAATAACATAGAAGGGATAATAACCCCAGCTCCAATCTTAACCACTGTTAACAATTTGGTATGTTTCTTTCCAGTACTTTTTTTTTTTTTTTTTTTT